AAGATTTAAAAATAAACAAGGAAATTGTTATTTAATTAAGGTATAAATAATTAACTAAGCATATTATTGTTGTGGAAAGCTCATGAGAAGCGTACTAAAAATGTATATAAATAGTTTATATTATTAAAAAATAAGAAAGTTTCGAAGAATCACAAAAGTAGATTATGAAGGTGTACATGTGTGGCCACTTCTAGCTCTTTCTAAATTTTATTTACTAAAGCCTTATTTGTAAATAATAATGCAATATAACTAAATTTATTATGTCAATGTGTTACATTATAGAAAACATCACGCTGGATTTTAGAAATCTAAAATTTATTTATAGCTCAACAAAATAATCTATTAGTAGTTTTAAGAAATTCTATTCGTGAAGTACTATATCATTTGTGAAGTATAATGGAGAGATGCATTAAATATTAACAATTTGAATGAATGAATAAACCTTCAATGCAATAATCACTCTTTTATTTAGAGTGGTTTTGTTAATTTAATATTTTAGGAAGCATCTTTATGGAAAAGATTTTTGATTAGAACTGCTGAGATGATTCCTCATGTATTTAACCGTATTAAACAATATATTTGTTTAATAAAAGACAAGTTAGTGACTAGTTTTAACGAATCATTTATTTCAATACAGTTATGTTTTCAAATATTTGGTATTTTATTACAGCAATTTAGCATCTATAGCTCCAGTGGCATAACTAGACCAACTGGGGCCTTTTTAGTAAACATTGAATATTTTCAGCATATTCTACTGCATGTTGTATATGTTCCACTACTGGCCATTGAATTCAATCACAAAATAATGAATATTGACGATTACATGATCTATTCTTAAAAAATCGATGTAAAGTAATTGCTGCAAATCAGTAAAGAATTAAAAATTCTAACCTTGCAGCTTTTTAGGCCGGGGTCTCTTTGGATTGGGGTCTCGTGGAATTTTGCTCTATAGTTACGCCACTGTGCACCTCCTTTTAGTGCAGGTAAAGGCAATAATTTTGCTTTATCATCTTTAAAATTTGAAAAAATTAGTTCACAATTATTGCTTCTGTATTTTTTAGGAAAACCACGTGAGTTGTAGTCAACACTAGTGACACTAAAAGTATTACAGGAAGTCATGGATAAAAACACATGTTCTTCTGGTCTATAAATCGGTTAAGTCGGTCTGTGAATCTCTTATGATTGAAGTTTTGATTTATGTATGTGGAGTCCAGATCAAATGCACTACAAAATAACATTTTATCAGAAATTATTCTCAGTAAGTATAAAGTTACTATCACGTGTAAAGAAAATGTTTGTATACTCATTGATGCGAAGATAGCAAAATTCACAAAATATTACAAAGGCGGAGTCTAGTAAGATTTCACATGTATTTATTTTTTACCTGAATTTAAAGAAAACCTAGTGGGGTGCATGGCATCGTGCCTTAAGGCAAATTGCTGAAATTTCCCGTACCGTAATTAAAAATCTTGGTACGAAACTCAAAAAAAATTACGCAAAATGTGTACACATTATTGAAAGCTCTATAAAATATCCGATAATTTGATGTACACATGTCCAATAAATATTTTTGACCGCCAAATGACATTGCAAAATAAAAATGGCTTTTAAATTTTTTAAATCAGTGCAGCCTTTTTTGAGAAAATATCGACGAAAGTTCAAATTTTGTCTTACAAACACACACATACTTTCATTGATTTTGGTGTCAAGTAATTCAAAATGACTTGGAACGTCGAGAAAACATAAAATTACCAAATCCGATTTTCTAGACAAACATCACCTATAGAAAGTTAATAAAACGTATTACATATATTAAAACCATATATATTAAATACAAAAAATAGATTTATTTTTTTAAAATTTGATATATTAACATTTGTTTTTATTTCTATAATAAATTTATTGAGTGGTTGGTGTTGCAAAACAACTCAATGATGCCATACGATGTACGGTACAAGGTGTATAAAATTATGTCTACTTTTTCATATAAATATGATCCCAAAATTCAATCAGAATCAGGTTTTCCATAATTGTTGACATAATGAGTAATATTCAATGTTGAGTGTCCAATTATTAATAAATAATGGGTGCTCTGTCCTAGGCAGGTTCATAAGCTGAGTTAAACTCCAATTCAAATCGGGCAAGAATAGTGTGAGAGGTTTCCCATTGCCATTCTACACCGCAGTGCCCTAAGTAGGCTATTTTCTCTATCTATCGTTTTTTGTATATTTTCAAGTAAAAATTTATATCACTATATACATGATATCATGATGTCCAGGGCGGAGGTTTGAACTCACAACGCTGTCGACACAAGGCAGTGCACTTAACCGTTACGCCTATGTAATAATAGCAGTTATAGCAATTTCACTTTAGGGCAGTTTGCAAACTCTTCACAAATGTATTACAGTTCATTGATGATTAGAGATTGATGATCATTTTTACAGGAGAGTATTCAAAAGTACGGTTGCTTTAATTATGGTTTTTATCATTGTCAAACAATGCACTAATTTGGTAGATTCAACTTCAAATTTTAGGCCTGATAGTAGTTTTTCTGTGCTTCATAATATCATTATTCAGTTTTATATTTTGTTTTCCACTACCAAATGTAAATTATATCTTTTTCTGATGTTTGTATTTATAAATATTTCTTTTTCAGTATTCAATAAACCTCTGGCATCATAGTCTGTTTTTTTCATAATAAAAATGGACTTATGTTGCTTTTCGACTTTGGTTCCTATATATCTTTGAATTTTTTGCTCAGTTATGCTATGTCCTAAAACGGATGACTATAAATATTATTAAAAATAATATTCCATTGATTTAATTTGTTTTTTTTTGGCATGTGACCATAAATAAAGAATATATATATATATATATATATATATATATATATATACATTTATCTCTCTTCTCAAATTTAGGGGGTTCTTCTTTTTTTTGTTACAAAACATGCAAGGTATTTGTTTTTGTTTTTCTCGAAACGCATTTATCATAAAGACATGCGGTTTTTTAAAAACAAAAATTACAAAATCATAGAATATTAAGGAATTTTTTATTTTTTTTTTCGCCGTTATTTTTTAACCAGGGGGCGCCAAAGTGGGCATTGCTAAATCGATCTCGTTTGCGGTGCCACAGATAAATCCATTGCGCATCGCCTGAAACAAAAAAAAAACGAAACTACGTTGAAGAAGAAGTTTGAATCCAGTCCCCCTACCAAAATGAAAGTAAAAAAAGCAAGAAGGAAAAAAATGGCAGCTATTTAAAAAAAAAGTGTCAAAAAAGGCCATTTTTTGGGACGAGAAGGTTCGCAATTTTTTTTTGCGTAATATTATCAAGTTGTTTGAGGTAGGGGGACTAGGTATTGCAGTGGTGAACAAATTAAAAAAAAATGCAAGTCGATCCGACTTGTAGTTTTTTTTTAATTTGTGGCACCGCATTGAAAAAAGTCAATTTGAGAAAAACGTATTTAAAGTTTTTAATATAATATACTAAATACACCATTTAATTTAATGTACGAAATACACCATGGTGTTCAAAGATGCTGACACATTAAAAAGGTCATGTGCATGAGGTATTATAATGAAAAAGAGGCAGCTGGCATACAATAGCTCGCGGAACAATAAAAAAACGTTTTCAGAGGATCATACGTATAGATATATATATATCTATAACTTCATCAAAAAAATAGATATTGAGATGACTTTTTTTTTAAAAATAATTCTAAGGTTTTTAGCTTTCATAATATCAAAAAATCTCAAAACTGAAACAAAGATAAATAAAAAAGAACAACCCCCTTAAAAAAAAAACAAATCCAATGGTATATGTATCAGCATGTAAATATAAGATATATAAATATGTAAGCATTAAATACTAAATATAAATTAATACAGGTAATCCCATTATAACACGGTTCAAGAATTGAGAACATCTCACTTACAACACAGTACTTTTATAGCACTTTTTTTACTCTAACATGGTTCGAGAATTGAGCGAACCCTAATAAAGTAAAAATATAGTAAAGAACTTTATCTAATTTGAAATTAGTGAAATGGCCGTACAACAGCTCAATAAACTAGTGTCAAAGAAACCTATTTTTTAAATGAAGATATTATCAATAAAATGAGCACAGACTTTTGAAAACTTTGCAAAAAATTTATGTCATCATCAGTGGATAAAGATATGGTGTTTACAACAATTGATGTGCAAGAAGCACATAATTTAGCACTACGATTTATACACCAGCTTGTTTTTATTGAAAATATTATTTTTGTTTTGAATTTAATAAAGCAGAGTTACGAAAAACAAATAATTTAGATAAATTACAGAATATTTTTGCAAGAGTAACTTGTGATTACGATTGGCTCCAAGGCTCAAAATCAATCAATAAATCATTTTCACAAAGATTTATGTCGATTAATTAAAGACCAATTTTTAAATCTTTGCCTTTCATTTAATGTATTGCTTTAGAAGGACTTATACAGGAATACCCCGTTTAACGCGGGGGTTACGTTTCATCAAAGTAGAGTGCAATGCAATACAGCGCTAAAAGAGTTTATCTTTACATGAAAATATTGGAGTTAGGGGTAAACGGCCAGGAAATTGGTCCAGTATTAAATTTAAAAAGTATGTATTTTTTACTAAAAATAAAACCAAACATTTATTTCTTAAAGCCCAAATTAATACCACATTATTTCTTGCAAAAATAAAGATAAAATACAAATAACAAAACAAATATTCTTGAAAAAACAAATAACATTCTAAGTCAGTCATATTTAGTTAGCCTTCCGCATTTTCAGTATTTTGCCGTTTTGTGACAAAAGCATCTAATGTTGTTTCACTTTTTCTTTTGCTTCATAAACAGATAGAGCATCTCTAACACCACGCCTTACTTTAGAGCTTCTGTCAAAATTTGGATCATTTTTCAATGAATTGATCCATTATTTCAGTTATGGTAGACAAACTCCTTTTTACAAACACCATCGAAAGTTCTTTTTGCTTTTCCGCTGAATCACTGCTGTCAACATTTTTGTTTCCTTCTTGTTCAGTTCATTCCTTGAGGTCACCATTAGAAAGACTGCTCTGCTTATTGAATTATTTCTTCGACATCTTCCTCATTTATCCCTTCAAAACCTGGGTTGAAATAAAAGAGCACTAAACCAAAACAGCGCTAAATCATATGGCATAAAACAGAAGAAGGTGATAGCAATTACCAGTTTTATTGGTGTTATAGACCAGAAATAATAAAAGTACATCTAAAAAAGTACAAAGTATCATATATTCGTTACATTCAATTCAATCACTTACATTAAATTGTATCTACAAATTATTAGCACTTATTATCACTGCAACAGTTCAATCAAAGTCATGAAGATTGATTTGTTATAAAAACAGAGATCCATCTGCAGGACCTAAGTAATGTAATGAGATTAGAATAACATCAATAAGCGTCCAAACTCCCAATCCTCCAAATGAGAATAACTTTCCAATTCCCTCTTGCCAATGGCCTAAATAAAATCTGTCGGCACCAAAACCGCCAAGTGTTATACTAAGTATAAGAGCTGTAGACCAGTGATATCCTCCGGTCCAATCACACTTAACATTTTTTAAAAAGTTTCTTTTTCCAAGGCATAGAACATCTGGGTTCACCGTACAGTTCGTCCTGTAATGCTGCTTGGGGGTTGCTATAGAATTACAGTTTGCTTTTTGGGCGCATGTATGCTCCCAATGTTCTGTTTGGTGGCAGTATTGGCAAGTCATTACCCTAAAGAACTCTCTATTCCCGTGGCAGTCGACATTTGGCCGAACTGTGCAAGATACATTTATTTGAGCACCATATGTACAATTGTCATTTAGTTTGCAGTCTAGACATGTAGGCAACAATTTATAACATTCATCTCGAGAACAATTTGCACCTGTTTCGAGACTTGCTGGAACATGTTGTTTTTGTACAACTGTAACTGAATCGGTATTACTAAAGTTCTTTTTTCGTCTTTCACAAAGCCTTCCATATGATTGACAGCCATATGCGATTTAATTCCGTTAAACATTACAACTAATACGATAATTATTACACTTTTTATATTTAATTTTACACATGCCATAACGTATTTATTTACATAACAAAAACCTTGTTTTTCAGTTTTAAGTAATTGTCATATTCGACACTGCACATTGATGCAACTCATTGCAGGTTAATTTCTGACGTTTGCAAAATATTAACCAGGGAGGTATTGATGTCACATGATGATTTAGTATGATTATCTTATATATAAAAAAGATCTAAACATACAAATATCTAGATCTAGACATATAAATTGTAAAATAAATACAGAAACATAAAGAAAGCAATTGAGCACTAAACAAGAGCACGTCGTTGTCATTAGAAGATTATATTGGTGGGCGGAGCTTGTGGTAAATATGACCATGGGATAATAGACAATGCATGAAACTTATTTTTTTGATATAAATTATTAAAATATTATTTTAATATTTATGATTATTTGTGCAAATTCAAAAAAATCGTAAACGTTTGTGGGATGATATTTGCGCAAACTTGCGATTCCAAGTTTGTGCTATTATTCAAGTTTATGATTTGGACACATGTGGCAGCACATATCACTTTTTCAATATATCCGTTATTATGAAAATGCAAAATAAAGGGTTCAATTCTCGGATAAATTAACTGTCAAAAGTTATGTATTTGTTGTGCGATCAGGCGTTTTTCACATATACAGGTAACCCTCGCATAACACGGTACTTCTATAACACGGATTCGCTCTAACACGGTTTAAGAATTGAGACCATCATCCCCCTCATAACACGGTACTTTCGGGTTCGCATAACACGGTTTAAGAATTGAAGAAAGTTTTAATAAAATAAGAAATATAATAAAACCTATGGAAAGTAAACTTTATTTAATCTAAAATTAGTGAAATCACCGTACAATAGCTGATAAATGTGATGAAATAGCTGATAAATGTGATTTTGCCAAAAGCAAGTAATCGCAAATATAATTTTTTTGCAAAAAATAATGCACGGATCTGGAGGTAGTATAGAAAACTGCTCTGCGGATAAGGATATCTTGCAAAAAAAGGTTTATGTTGGATAGCACTTACTTGTTAATTATGACAAAAAAATCATATAATTCTAGTAATATATATTACTTCTTAAAAAATGAATGAATGTAACAATATTTATTATAAAATCATGATATGTAACATGTTTTTTGAGTTCTTGGAACGTAACCGCTCTTTTGTACTAGCTATACGGTGATTTCACTAATTTTAAATTAGATACAGTTTGCTTTGAATAGCTTTTATTATATTTCATAGTTTTTGCTCAATTATCGAACCGTCGTGTTAGTGTGAAACCGTGCTATAAAAGTACCGTGTTATAAGGGATATTCTCAAATATCAAAACATGTTAGAGTAAATCCATCTTATATGGAGCTAAGTAACTACGTCAGTTTTATAGATAGCACCCCAAACGGTTGGCTTTATTAGAATTTCTGTAATAGCGATTAATTTTTTATGGATGCAGCCATAGATAAAATAAGAGTATAAGAGTATAAGTAAATAAGATGAAGCAATAGCGGATAAAAGCTATTTTCACTTACAGATGTCAATATTGTTAGAAATTAATCCGTTCTGATTCAAATCATAAAGAATACCATTATTAAAATTATAAATTAAATACCTTAGGAAGGCTTAAAAAATACCAATATTGAATTTTTCTAATTTTGCACTTTTTATGCATCTTACATAAATCCTGAATCAATCGTAAAAAGTACTTTTTTGTTATTTCAAATACTTGATTACAATGTAATTATCATACAAATTTTGCTTTTCATAGCCACCTTTATACATTCAAATGTCCGATCCTGGACAAATTTTGAATCAACCACTCATATATTTGTTGGTATATTTAGTAGAGTGTGAGTTCTTTATTCAAAATATTTGTAAGTGTCAAAGTTGTAGTACAGCACCCAGTGGCGGATCCAGCTTCGGCGTCAGGGGGAGGTCATAATTGAACAGTTTTTATAGTCCTCAATGAGTATGTAACAAATTTAATATATATATATATATATATATATATATACATATAAGATAGAGCGGGGCTTCGCGGGTAAAAAAGGTCCACCAATATCTCAAGGAGGTTAAGGATTAAAGTAAAGTTAAGGATTTCTTAACAACAATATTTGAAAGTGGAAGGAAAAATGTACAACCAGCCATCACCCTGATTCTTACGACGTTAAAAGAAGCATTTTTACAAGAGATAAATTAAATAAATATTTATTTCAACTTTGCTGGTTGTTAAAATATCAAATTAAGGTTATATATAGAGTAATCTCTGTAAAAATGTATCTATAAAATTCATATATTTCATTGGTTGAATAATGTAGCTAAACCCCTTTAAAATTAAGAATAGTAAAATGGATTGTTTGTCCTCTCGCCGTCCGATTTTACCCCGTCTATGGGGTAAAAAAGACCAAGTGACAAATTTTTAAAAAACAGAAAAAAACACATTTTTACAGTGATGAATTAGCTGGAAGTTGGACTAAAACATAGTCAGATGCTTTTTATTTGATGTGTCCTATTGGTTGTTATGTTTTTTGTTTAGTTTTCACAATATAATTGCTCAAAGTTAAATTGGACCCGCCTAACCTTATATATGTGTATTTTTTTTAAAATAATCTGCGTCTTTGACGTGGGTCAAATTTTGACCTTTCCTCGACGTTTTCTCGTCTGAACCGATGTTAAAATTTAAAAACTATAAAATGAAACTGGATAAGCGCTTGCGTTGATTAGTTTTTTGAGACAATTGGTCGATCCGTTTCTTTACTATTTGCAGAAAAGTGCAAAAATTATCGTCCATGTTTTTGTCAAAAATTCTTAACCGTTTTTTATTCGATTGATATCATTTGGAAATAAATAGTTTCTGTCGAAGATCGGTCAAGTCGTTTCTTTTTCATAATAGATTGTCACATTTTTTGACGATTTAAGTGAAACTTTGCATGGCGATAGATTTTCTACTCTAAATGAACGTACTAAACTATAATAAGGCCTGCAACAAGTGGTTTTGGCTTTTAAAAAATGCACCGTGTGTATGTATTCGGCTTCGTATTTTGTATGCGTTCGTTTTCCATCAATGTGTAATATTCAAACCATTTTTTAACTAGTTTGTATTGGTATTTTGCCTTTAGGAAAGTTACATTTGTTAATAATCGACTTTCAGTAAAAAATGAATTAATTTATGAGGGATTAAAGGTATTCCCAGTGGATTTACAATATCACACACAAAACGACGACATTAACTCGGAGTATTTTCTAAAGGCAAATTTTCAAAATTCAATAATTTTTATAATTGAACTAGTTGCCGTAGGATTTTAATGGTTTAGTATGTTCATTAAGACCAATTACTCTATCGATAAACCAAGTAAATCGTCTACTTTTAATTTTAACATATGTCAAAAAAACTACTCATTTTCTCAAACTTTGATGAATTTTCAAAATTAAACTACTTGTCGTAAGACCGTAATATTTCAATAAGTTGTATAAGTTGTCATGATATATATCATCAAAAAACGTTTCATAAAAATCGGATCAAATATTTTTTTCAACGACGAAATACAAGCAAACGGCTCGGTAGATTTTCACCTAAAACTAATCAGTTTCATTCTCAACTAATATCTTTCGAACAGTTTTTGATTTTTTTAAATCGAATCGGTAGTTTGTGCTTAAATGTGGACGAAAAGTTTAAATCTTCTTTCAAAATTTCAAAGAAACGGCTCGTCCGATTGTCGCACAAAACTGACAAGCGTTAGTCCTCATTTAGACACATCAAATGGTTTTTAAATTTCTGAAATCGGTCCAGACGTTTTTGAGCAATCGTCGATGAAAAGTCTAATTTTGACAAATGCCAAAAAAACGAAACTAATTTTTGCAAACTTTGACGAATTTTTAAAGCTAAACGAGTTGTCGTGTGGCCGTATTTGTATTATCTAGAAGACTATGGTATCTACCGTCAAAAAATTTTTTCAACACTTTATTACAAGAAAACGGCCAGGCCGATCTCTACCAACAACTCATCAGCACGATTCCCAATATGAATATGAATGCCGATATGAATGATTCAAAGAAATTTCTGCTTGTTTTGACAAAATAATTGCTTTTGAAAAAAAATTTGGCTTAATTTTTTTTTCTAAACTTTTTTTTATATATGGAAATTAATTCAGATTTTAATATTGATTCTGACTAAAGTTTAAAACTTATATTCTTCAAATAAATAGTTTTAACTTTGCAATTCAGTTTAAATAATTCTTATAAATATCAGACATTGTTACAATACTTATAATAATCTATTTGAAAACATTTAATATTTCTCCAACATTTTGTTAAGGTACGGGAAGTTCCAGCAATTTGCCTTAAGGCACGATGCCATACACCCGACTAGTTTTTATATTGATTAAGTCGTCTATTTAGAGATGTTAGGATTACTGAAATACACTCACAATCAGTTCAATTTTTTGATTTTTGAATGAAATTTTGTTCCTGAAAATCCTTAAATTATAGGGTTTTGGACTCCGTCGTTCGTCTATAATAAGTTAAATATTCAAGTTATAAAATGTGTTTGGTAACAAAATACATAAATAAAATCATTATGAAGTAATTTTGTTGTTGAATTAGTGTTTTATCTAAGTCCTAAAACAGGCTCAGGGGGGGGGGGGTCATGACCCCCGTGACCCCCCCCCTGGATCCGCCACTGACAGCACCTGATATACTATTCAGAATAATTGTAAATTTATTGCATACTTCAAACTAGACGTTTAATATAATAGGTAAGCATTAAAATTAATTTAAAATTTATTGTCGAATTCGAAAACGAACATAAACGTATATGGCTTGATAACACGCCAGGCGTATTATTATTATAGGAGTTCGTACTTTAGAATCAAATATGAAGGACAATGTTATATTGGATTTGCATAAAAATAATACATTTAACAGAGTCGATACCGATTGTTTTTACGTTGATATGAATATACATTACCTTTATTTTTTCCTTTGGTTATCATGTGAGCCGTCTGCCACCTAATTTTTATCTTTCGGTCTTTCTATCTAAAGCTGTTCCTCGACGCATTCTTTCTTAGCACACTTTTTAACGCACTCTTCATCAGCATACTCTTCCTCAACGCATTATTTCTAAGCGCTTTCTTCATCCACGCACTCTTCATCAACGCACTTTTTATACCAGCACTCTTCATAAGTGCACTCTTCATCAACGCACTCTTTTTCAACGCGTTCTCTCTAAACACTTATTTCATCATCAATGCCTTTTCCAATGCACTCACTTTAAAAGTGGGCTTTTCTGAATAACACTTCTCCAATAAAATTGCCTCAAATGCAAATTCTCCCAATGCATATTCTTCTAAAACATTTTCTTCCGATGAATTTTCCACAAATGTATTATCCTCCAAAGTATTTTCCTCTAACGCACTTGCCTGCAATGCACCATTCTTCAACGGCAATGCACCCTCAATCTGGCCTGCTTCAATCTAGCTCTTCATCTTTTCGTATCATCCTTTTACTAATATAGCTGGCCATGTATTTCAAAATAATCATTATAATAAGCTCATCATAATTAATGTATATTTAATCTTTACAATTTTGTAAAATTATATTTGTATTGAATCCAAAAAATATTTATAAAGTTGTACTGTGGAAGAGTTGTAAAGCATTAACCAGTATATTCCAGTCCACCCGAAAGTGCTAAACACATATTGATCATAAAATCAATAGATTGATGATATAAATTATTGTTGAATATTGTATTATCAGTTATTATATGCATAAATAAAATTATGCTTTTCTAAAATAAAATAGGTTTTCATAAAATTTTAAATACACAATTTCAGAAGACAACCAATACAAAGAACATACACATAAAACAACAAATTAGTGTTTTTTTATTAATTTATTTGTAAAAACGTGAAACATACAAAGTATTTAATAAACTAAAGACTAGATTCAACAAGAATTAAATGTTAAATAATATGGTAATGAAATAAACATAGAACATTTCCTTTTAATATAATTTTTGTACTGGCAACAGTGTTATATAAGATTCGAGTAATGTTTCAAAAAAATATTTTTTGAATAGAAACTATGTATATTGTTTAAAAGATTTAACAGAAAAATAAGAAGTTGGAAAAAAGAATTTGCAACAATTTATATAAACCAAGAAAAGGATTCTTAAATTATCTGATGATTATTGTCACTATGATTTCTATTTCTAGAAAAATATGAAGGCACATAGCTTAATATATTTACATAGAACTATAACAATTTGAGATCAAACGATGATCATAGATACAATGTGTCATGTGATCATATTTATGAATAATAATATTTTAAAAGTTCTACTTCTGTCTAATAAACTTATGAATAAATTGTAATATCAATATATAATCATACTAAGAAATTATTATTTCTTGCATTTTGGTTTCATCAGTCTGACAATGAATTAAATGGCCTTTATAACATTTAATTTTCAATTCATACTTGATGTATGTAATTTCATGATAAATCCTTATCAATTTGATTAGCTAACAATATAATAAACAAAATTATAATATAAACTTAATAATATAATAAGGTTTAAATATAATTTTCAAACACCGAGCAGCGTCGTTCATCTATATTATATAAATGTTAAAAATATGTATATCTAAAAATTACATTTTGTTGTTCATACACAAACTTTTTTGAAAAAGTAGTCAGAATATTTATAAAAGAGAAATACCTGAACAAAACTTTACTCCTAACAATATATATTAATTTCATATATAATTCCATAAATTAACTTACATTTACACAAAACGCAATCAAACCCAATCAAACTGCAAAAGTCTTATTACTAATTAAATGCTCCAACATAATTGTATTTTAATATCTGGTGAATAGCACATCACATTCATTAATCAATCACACTCTCAACCAAAAGCAATCAAATTCATTTACAAGTACTAAAATCTAGGTAAGCGTAAGTGTATTAAAGGATAATCAATTATGATTTTCATTATATAATATTTTCTTTCATAACTGTAATACTGGACATATGTGATATTATAATATTAAACTTTTTTTATACCTTTTATACCAAATTATATACATATATCAAAGATAAAAATTTAAGTACAAACTTAATTGCGAAATGTTAAGTTTTATGAAAAATTTAATAAAAAAGTTTAAAAAGAGTATTATTGAGTATAAAATACGTCACTAAAAATTCAGGTAAAAAATTCGAAATATTTAAAGTTAAAATACTTATGAAATTTTTTTTTTCAAAAGGCGATGGGTAACATTTGGTATGGCAACAAATTATATTTTATATTTGAATTTTACTCTGTCTAGAGAATTAAAATTCAACATTCTGGACATCGGTTGGTGTATTGCCGCACTTTCCTGAGTGTTTGGCGTTCGTGCCCTGAGAATTATTGTTGGCAAGAGGAACAATACCAAGAGAAGCGGATCTATTTGGATCATCAACTGAAACCTGGATTTCTGCCTCCATTTCTTTCGGGAATAGAGAAGATGGAATTGTGACGTGTTTAACTGGTGATTTCGGCGAGATGGATTGGTGATTTTTATCATCAGAGCAGTAGTTGGGCATACACTGCGGAGAAATGTAATCACCAGCTGTAGGTGTAATGTAATCAGATTCCATATCAGTAGGCTGGAACTCTTGTTCAGGCGTCCCTGGACTGACACATGGAGAAACTAGCGAACGAGGAGATTCCTCTGGTGTACCATCGCATTCTGGGTAAGGATAATCGGGTGTTCTGGGTCCAATTTTTGGTTTTACCGGTGCTTCTGGAGTAGAACAATAGGATGGAGTTTTAGTAACATGAGATACTGAGGCTTCGGGGCTCTGATATGGAGAGTTTGGATTAGACGCTGGTGGAGTTCCCGAAGGCGTTTGCAATGACGCTGTTTCGTTGGCAATGACACGCTCGATGTGACAAACCATTAATTCGGCGAGAGTTATGTCCGCACGAGAAACGGCGCACAGGTCCGCAAGGGCGTATTGCGATGATGGAAGGTTCAGGCCTCGAACGGCGGCGCAAACGCAAGCGGTGGCAAGGAGCGAAGGAGCGGTCTGCATAAATTCAGGTTCTGGAAGAAAAAAAAACAAAATGTTAGAAAAGGATGAAAATCAATAATTAATATTGCATAGTACAGGCACGATATACTTAAATTTATAAAAAGGATTCAACTTAAATCTTCAAATTTTACATACTTATGGTATCAAACTAGCAATTCTTTGGAGTCAATAGTATAATGATTCATATATCAAAATATAAATATTGTCAATGACATATCACACCCCCACAAGAAAAGTGACACTACTCAAAAATTTTCAGATGTCACTTTTTAAAGTCAGCCCTTTTAGATTAATTCTAATAACAAAATCATCAAATGTGGATGGATTAACCATTAGGTTACCGTCTAAAAAATATGAAGTAAGAAGAAGTTTCAGCCCAACAGCTCATAGGACGTAAGGTTCTGATTGCTCTTAAAAAATATTAAAAAAAGATGTCTCTTTTTGTGCGCAATTAGATTAAACATGAACCCTCAATATAGTTATGAGGTTTATCAAATTTGTATGATTTAATTAAAAAAAATAAAAACATCTATTTCGAACATAACACTATTCAAAATAGGGGTGAGTTTTCGAAGTTTTGTATGACAAAGTATAAATTGCACTGTATTGAATACAAAAATATTACATACAACCACATGTGTTCAAATAATTAGATCTGATTAAGTTAGCAATTTGCTTTTAATTCAAAATGTCAAAAATCAAAAAAGTTTTTTTTAATTTTTGGTCTACTGCAGATTTTTACTTTTTTTTGACTTGTCCAACTTTTCTTGTTAGTATACTTTACATTACCAATTTTTTAAAACAATAATGAATAATTTTCAGGACTTTTGTCACATTGTCGTGTGCATTATCTTAGCTTCTAATCGAAATAAAATTTGAAAATGGCACCAACAATTAATATATAATTTAATTTAGTATTACAAATATAATATAGGTGAATATTTGATGCCCGGAAACAAAAGTTTGATTTGAAAAAGTTCTTTCACAGTTCAGACATTTGAAAAAAACATCTATTACAACAGAAAGCCAACGTCATTTTGTTTTATCATACACCTATATATATTTCTACATTGAAATGATATAAAAGACGAATGAATAAATAATAATTTTTGATGTATATTTTTACACAATATTGCATATTAATTTGTAGTCTGATAAATAAATTATAATAAATAATTTCATAAACAAATTAAATCGGTAGAAAAATTAAGGGGGCGCAACAGTCATATCAAAGAATCGGGGGAGGGTACTAAAAGGTTGGAAACCACTGAGTTAACCAATTATCTTTGACTGACGAATATACTCGTCATGCAGAAGTTGCATGGAGGAGTTTTTTGTATTGACGAGTATACTCGTCATGCATATAAATCTTTAACTTAACTGTTAACCATTGGCTTTTTAGATTTCAACTTTGGAAATAGAAAAAACAGAACATATTTTAAAATTTCAAAATATTTAGAATATTCTCATACTATGCAGGTGGCTAGTTATAGGTGGCCCTTTTACCTTATTTCACCTAGTTTCTGAGAGACAAAACTGTGCGCACACAAATTGATAATAATATTTATATCATTATACAAGTAAATCTAAGAATAATCAAAATTTATAAAACAATCAATGTATTTCATAAAAATCCAGCATGGTATTCAAATTAACGATCAACGAACATAGAAAAATGTTTCGTTTCTATTTCCAGTAACAGTTAAGAGTCGCTCAGTATAGTTGATACGAAAATACGGAATGAGCTGAACACATAATAATGACCGGGGTCAAATAAAGATATTATCATTTCAGAAAAAATAAACTACTTGACTGCAGGTGTATAGTGCTTGTAAACGACATTTGTTTGAACGCGGGGTAAAGCTAAAAAAACGAACTTAGCTCTTTCAATTAACAATTGAAAGTTTTAATGATACTACACTAATCATACTACTATTATACACACTTTAGAGGTAAAGAAAGATTTTTTTTAATTTTTAAATAATAGAAATGTTTTTAAATAAAAAGTTTTAAAAATATATTTTAAAAAATGTTTTGTTTGTTATTAATAGTTCCTGAAGAAGAGGACATTTAAAAAATTTGGAAAAAAAATTATAAAATAAAATCATAAATGATATTAGCTATCCAGAAAAGCTTATTATATATATATTAGGGTGGTCTTTATAATGTGGATATTTTAGAATTTCTTTGCACCCAGGGGCTCAAATGCTTTCAAATTGATAAATAAATATTCTCTGAAAGTTTTAGTTCTTAATATCAACTTTAAGATAGTCCGCACTCCAACTAAAGTTTCTAATGGAAATTACATGGGTAAAATTCCATTTGTTTTTTAGAATTACTTTTAGAATTTT